GTGTGTGTGTGTGTGTGTGTGTGTGTGTGTGTGTGTGTGTGTGTGGTGATGTGGGTATTTACTTTGCTACAAACTTGCTTTTGTAGCTAAAACTGGGAACAGAATGTTTTTAAAAAAAAAAGATGGTTTCCAAAAAGCCGTCCTGGGAATTATGGTGAGCCTTGAAACTTTTCCAGGAAAGCAAAAAAAAAAAGTAAAAGTTTCCATTTTTGGTTTCATTTAACTCTAAACAAATTAATTCAAGAATATTTGTCATCAGATTTTTCTATTAAGAGTTTATTACTTTGTGTAGCAAGTCCAAGTGACGAAATGAAATTCAGGTCGTTCTCAGAGGTCTCATACAGATCCAGGACAGGAAACTGTTCTGGATCTCCCGTTTTTTTAAAGATCTACATCATCTAACAATGATTCAACATTCAGGTCTGTTATAATCATGCTTCTAATGCTTAATCTACTCCGCAGCAGTGAACGGAGGAGGTTCTGCTAGAACCTCTTGCTGTGGCTGGGTTCCTGATTATTTACAGTCCAACCATGAGAACAACTTCCAGCCTTTTTGAGTAGCAGCTACAGCTTCTGTCCCTCTCACTCTGACTGTGCATAGTGAGAGAGGAAGTTGACAACCTGTTAACCGGATGATCTTCATCGCTCGTGTGGCTCCAGAGATTCATAACTGGACCATCATGTTTAAGCATTTCTGTCCTTAAACTTTTAGAAATTGTCATAAATTATTCACATGAATTAAATCTTCAGGATTTCTTTGATGCTTTGACTTGCTCAAGTGTTGTTGTATGGTTGAAACTTTTATCTGTACTAGTTTCTTTAGCTGATCATCCATCTGTTATCTTCACCCGCATAGAGACAAACAACCATTCACTCTCTCTCACACCTAGGGACAATTTATAGTCACCAATCAGCCTAACATGCATGTTTTTGGTCTGTGGGAGGAAACTGGAGTATCTGGAGAAAACCCATGCAGCACAGAGAGAACATGCAAACTCCACCCAGAAAGATCCCGGGCTGGGATTTGATCCAGTAACCTTGTCACTGAGAAGCAACAGCTTTATCAACTGAGCCACCGTGCTGCCTTTAGCTGATCAGTTGTTGTTAAAGTTTATTTTTTATTGTTCTAACAATTCACAGTTCTTCGTTGATTGCTCTTAATTTTATAAAAGCTTAGTCTAAAAGAGAAATCTAGAGAAAAAATGTCACAAAAATGAGTTCACAATGGTTTAATTGACTCCACACACACACACACACACACACACACACCCACACACACACACACACACACACACACACACACACAGGTTTGTCTTGCTATATTTACAGGGACTTTGCACTGACTTCCATTCATTTTTCATTCATTTCTACAGCCTAACCCTGGCCCTTACCCAGGTTAGTCTCATTGAGCCTCGAGGACTCATTTATAACATTAAAAGAATAATTGAAATGCAATGATATTCTGTCTGAGTGTTAACACAGCATTTATTGACTCGGGACCCGAAGGTCCTGGGTTTGATCCCCAGTCATTGCACACCTCGTGGTGTCTCTGAGCAGGACACCTCATCCCCAGTTGCTCCCTGGGCGCTTTCCATAGCTGCCGACTGCTCCACCTGGTGGTGGATAGGTTAAAAGCCGAGAGCCAATTTTGCCATTGTATACAGTGATGACAATACATAACACACATTATTATTATTTATCTTTGTGTGTCTGTGACCCTCCTCCAGCTCTCCGTGGCTCACCCGGACGACTGGGCTCGCTTTGCTCGTACTCTGATGGAGATCCGTGCTAACCGGGCGGACGGTGAGGAGGAGGGGGCCGTGGAGCTGACTTCGTAGATGAAGGACTGTGAAGCCACAAGTGCAGGAATCAGAAACCTTATGAGCTTTCATTGATGTCATTGTAGCATGTGCTCCTGGGTCGATTTTGTTGCTCTTCCTTTAAGTTCTCATTAATGTCTGCTCAAAACAAGGCAGGGCTTTTAAGTTTTTATTTATTTTAACTGCACATTGTTCTGAAATGAGTGACTTCTAATACTTTGTATTTATTTGTCTCAGGTGGTTAATTGCTTGCAACTCGTGTGCCTACAGTATAAAAAGTGTCAGTCTTATAGCTTTGTGAAGATGTATGCGTACTGTAACAAAGCTTTGCACTATGCTCAGAGTTAAGCGGGGCTATCAGCTTGTTGTGTGCTGTTTACAAAACATCATTTCTGTTCACTTTGTTCACTTCGTCGTGAATCTGCATGCAACACCATCCTGGAAACCTTGTAGCTGCTTTGTTTCTGTCACTGTGTCAGAAACTGAATCACGTGTACTTTTCTGTACTGAGTAAGAGCGTCAACTGTATATTCTATAATAAACTGTAACTGTGAACTGGAGGTACGTTGTAAGTTGGAGTGATGGCTGTGAAACCTGCTGAGGTGACTATTAAAACTAACAAACTGCTGTCTTACATATTCAGTCTGATTCTCTCTACTCTGCCATGTTTTCTGTAAGGTGTGACGTATTATACAATTCAGTTTATTTATATAGCGCCAAGTCACAACAGAAGTCATCTCAGGGCACTGAACACAAACATTCATACAAAAAGTAAGTTCATATGGTTATTTATCTAATTAGCAAGCAGATTGCTTTAAGTCTTCAGTTTGTCACAGTCTCCCATCCTGAGCAAGCACAGTGGCAACAGTGGAAAGGAAAAACTCTTTTAACAGGAACCGGGCTCAGGACAAGCAACCATGTGCTTCGACTGGCTTACCTACGTGCCAAATTTCTCTAATGCACATCATGTGTCACTTTGGTCTTTAGGATCATAGTAATATGTGCTATTGATTAAAAAAACAACTAAAAGTAGATGGAAATGGAAAAAAGCTGCAACAAGAAGTAATGGCTTTAAAAGAAATAAGCAGGCAGTGGCATTTTGCTGATTTATTTATCAATCGTTTTAGCAAAGTTTGAGTTGGGTTGAATGAAAAGACTTTTCTGCTGCTCCCCTTCACGCCAGAGTTTTTACCTAAGATCATTTTATGTTGACTAATGATGAAGTTGCAGCCGTTGTGGGCAAACCTTGGAAATAACTTCACACACGTTTAATTAATACGAGATGTCACACTCAGAGTATGAAGTTGTAAATGACCCATCTACCACCACGTCCAATTTTACCTTAATATCTCTAAATCTGACTAAATTACAGCCATTTTTTTGTATTGACCAATGTGAATTATCTGGTGGCCATCTTGAATTGGATTGACTTCAGAAGTTATTCTGATGGTTTCATTAAAATCTATTTCAACACACAGAGACACTGGTGAAGGTTTTATTTCTCTGCATTGTGCTTCAGCTGCAGGTTACAATAAATCTGTAAGAGTCAGTCAAATTTAAAGCAAATGATTCAGAGTCCTGCAGGGAACAGATGCTATTCACCTCTTTATTTCACAAGTGCATACACACTACATATATAACACGAAAGAGAAAAAATTAACAGCTTCAAATTAATATTATCAAACATATATAATATTATAAAATATTAATATTATCATTGTTTATGTACAAATACTGCAGCTTTTTTATTATTATTTTTAAAGTCAATTTTCATATCCTTGGAGGTTGATGAGGTACTGCAGTGTATTGTGGGAGGTGGAGTCCAAACGTTTGATGCCAGCAAATGTGGCCAGAGCCGACCTGAAGCCTGGTGTGGTTGAGGTCACAGACTTGGAGCCAGTGGGCTCTCATGCAAAGGAAAAAGGAAGGTGGAAAGGCACAAAGTACCACAAGAGAAACCATAAGGCTGTGAACTGACGGGAGTTTTACTATCACCATTATTGAATCTTAAATGATGTTATTGAATTTAACACCATTTGCCACAGAAATAAACCGTCGTAGAAGAGTGGAGCGTTTCAACATTTCTCCCTGAGAGCTGAGCTGAATCAAACTCCTCAAAGCTTTCATGCTGAGTGCTCGGATTCTGTGCCAACAAAGACAGCAGAGGAGCGTGCACGAACCGTGTCCAGACCACTGGATCCCGACTGAATCTGCTCTTGATTTTATGTCCACAGGAGCCTCCAACAACTCGGGCCTGTATGTAAAAGTAACGCGTGATCCGATGGATTCACACGGTTGAGGCACAGACTCAGCTGCCCATTAAAATAACTTTTCCACTGGACCATTTTAACTTCAGAGCAGCAAATGATTCCCGGCAGTGGCCCTGTTTTGTGGAGCAAAATGAGCTTGTTTCAGCGCCACAAGTGGAGAAAGTCAAATGGGTGCCACCTGCACTGATGACAGTGCAGTAAAACTCTGGAGTTTGACTAAAATGTCACATCCAGAGCTCTGGGTGAGAGCTTTAGCCTGTCAGATAATGTGCACAGAATTTATTCGGGGTCTTGTGGCTCTTCTTTCTGCCTGGATGAGGCAAGAGGATGGACTGTAAACCATTGTTGGGTGTTTCACTGAAGGAACTCTGACAACAGCTGTACTGATTCAGATTTAAAGAAATGTCTGCACATTTGACTTATTTCTATAACAGATTGATTGGATATTAGTTTTACGAACAATAAAATGTTAGTTACTGCCCTTGAAGGTCATGGAAGAAAACTGTAAGTCACTCTAAACTAAAGAAGTTGACCTAAAATAAAAATAATAAAGTGGCTCAAAATTGTCACAGTAATTATATTTATTTCATTTTATTTCAGTTTACTTTTCACAATGTCTACATGTCTAAACCTGCATAAACAATACTCTATAAGAAATGTCAAAAATGTTATATTTTTATTGGCTACAAAATTTTATATGCTTTTCTTTTTTCCTAAAAATAACTTTCCTGATTGGACAGGAAGTGCCACTTCAGTTATAAAAAGACTCAAACTGAGATTAACAACAAAGTCCATGCTCAATAATCCAGGTATACACTCCAACATTTTTCAGTCAGGTCATCTGGACAGTTTCTTTTTTGTGCCGAAACGTTTCGCCTTCGGTCTGGAAGGCTTCATCAGTCAAGGAAACACACAACAAAAGTGATTCTTCCCCCAACAACTTACTCCAAAGTGGAACAAACCAGTTATGTTGGTGCTAAGATGGTCTCTTTTGTACGCCCCCTCCTTCATTGCCGGCCTCTTCCTTGTTGACAGTCGTGTCAAACTGGTTGAAAACAACAAAGTCCAACAAACTGTCCAGATGACCTGACTGAAAAATGTTGGATTGTATACCTGTATTATTGAGCATGGACTTTGTTGTTTTCAACCAGTTTGACACAACTGTCAACAAGGAAGAGGGCCGGCAATGGAGGAGGGGGCATGCCAAAGAGACCATCTTAGCACCAACATAACTGGTTTGTTCCACTTTGGAGTAAGCTGTTGGGGGAAGAATCACTTTTGTTGTGTGTTTCCTTGACTGAAGAAGCCTTCCAGACCGAAGGCGAAACGTTTCAGCACAAAAAATAAAACTGTCCGAATGACCTGACTGAAAAATGTTGGATCAAACTGAGATTATTTCTCTTTAATTTCCAAACATCTTTATGAATAATCATAAAACTAAATATGACTTAAATTAAAACTGAAATTTCTGTTGCACAACCAGTGAATGGTTTCCAATTGGAAAAGCTAAAGTAGAGATAAAACCCGTTTTTTTAAGTTTCTTATGAGAAAATAACTGAAAAAATATTTTGTTCAGAATTTTTTAAAATTTTATTAACACTGATTATTTCCTGCAGGGTGTAAACAATAACTTCCAGCAACATACCTGGGCTACTTGAGCAGGAAAAACCATCCATCCATCCATTATCTTTACCCGTTTATTCCATTTTGGGTCACGGGGGTCGCTGGTGCCCATGTCCAGCAATCACTGTGCGAGGGGCGGGGGACACCCTGGACAGGTCTCCAGTCCATCACAGGGCCACATAGAGACAAACGAGACAAACAACCATTCACTCTCTCACTCACACCTAGGGACAATTTAGAGTTACCAATCAGTCTAACATGCATGTTTTTGGTCTGTGGGAGGAAACCGGAGCACCCAGAGAAAACCCACGCATGCACGGAGAGAACATGTAAACTCCACCCAGAAAGGCCCCTGGACCGTGGATTGAACCAAGGACCTTCTCGCTGAGAAGCAGCAGCTCTACCAGTTGTGCCACCGTGCTGCCCAGCAGGAAAAACCCTGAAACAAATTTCAAAATATGAATACATTATTGCTAAGCTTAAAGGTAAGGTTATGATTTACACTGTGTGGTTTTGTGGAGTCATGATTGTCAGTCAGTATCTGACCTGCAGCAGACAGCCATCAAAGTTAGACAATTAGTTAAGCTAACACTGAGGGGCCGGCTCATGGTTTGTTGTTTTTGCTACAAATAATTACTCTTACTGGCTTATCGGAGTCCATTTTTAATGAAAATTTTCTGCTGTAGGTGAGTTACAAACTGCTGATGCCAACGCTACAAA